TCGCCGTCATCGCTGTCGCCAGCACCGTGCACTTTCATTGTAAACACAATAAGTGGAAGGCAGTTTTACTTTTTGGCTTTATATTTACAGAGCTGATGAATATTCATAAAACGCAGGTCAAGTTCGAAAATCAGCATGATCGGGCCATTATTGTAGAAGTTATGCTGTTTTTTCACTTTTCCGCATATCTGCAACACTGTAAACACATTTAAAGGAAAACCGATAGGCCTGTTGTCATGAAACTCACAGGAGTAATCCATCTTACTAAAACGCAGGTCAAATTCGAAAGGTTGTTCTAGGTGGTTTTCAATTTTATGCACCTGGTTTTAAAACCATATGGCGATTTTACGACAATCGTTTACTATCCAATTAAGGTGACAGCCGAGCATGGGTTCATCCTGTCGGTATTCTGACTGATACTCCAAAATGCGATCTGACACACACCTTGAAAACGGGTAGTGTGGTCCGATATATACCGGTTAATTCAGGATCCTTAGGTGCCGAGTCTGGTAGTTGGGTAGGCCTGACCATGTTACTTAGGATTGCCAAACTTTCAAAAAAGAAATACAGGACTAAAATGCAGCCTGAGTTGGAAAAGCAGTCTTATTGGCTTCTTTTTCTGGAAGTTATACATTTTCAAAGTGTGAACTTGAACTCCCCATGGGCCTGAAGCCTTATGCTTGTTACACATTTTACTCACATTGGTATTACCTGTTGAGCATAATTAAAATTTGATGTTGAATTTGCAGTTTAATATAATGTACTTTTGCATCAGAATTGACAGTAGCCTATTTTGTGCATAGTTATTTCCTGCTTTTTGTCTGTACATTTGACAGCNTGCATAGTTATATCCTGCTTTTTGTCTGTACATTTGACAGCATTGCTACCTTGTTTCTTGTTTGTTTGTTTCTTCGTTTTAACGTTATTCCACTTTCTGTTGTTATTCTGTCGAAATATTTGGTAACCTACAAACTTATAGCTACCGATTCATAAAGCTGAAGTTTCTTTAGGACAAATCCTGACTGCCCTCCACAGTCTTTGTAACGTCTATGTACCATCACCTGCTGTTAAAATGACTTCTCGTTTAGTATCAATTAATTATTACGATAAAAAATTACTTCCTCGTTAAGCGTTAATATAAGCACATAAACAATTTCACTTAACTATGTATTAGTTAGAAGGGAAGATAAATCAATTGAATCTTTTTTGTTTTCTCTTTGTGAAGAAGGACATATTTAATAGGCCTATTTGGTGAAATGAAATGTCCTTGTGAACTTGTTGTAGCAGAGACATTGATGAGTTCTTGACATTGTGTTTGTAGTGACGACATAAGCCCTTGATAGTTACTCAAATTATAATTGTATTAGAGTTACTCAAATTATGATTGTGCAACATTTTTTCATTTTTGTATCAGTAAAGGCCTTTGGTCGTTATAGCAAGCGGTAGCCTACCCTCCAAATCAATAAACTTGCTGGCGTAATCTGTTTGTATGGTTGTAAAACAGTTATGTAAATGAAAAAATACCCGGTTCCCTGTCTGCGTTGATCGGGGTAACGATAAAGCCTCATTAGGATAAAATACAGTGCAAATAAAATACATGCCCTGGTTGACAAGCTGGTCCGTCAAGAACTATGGATCCGAGTGCAGATGGATGGCCTGGAAGGCTATGACAAACTAAGGATGCATACCTAATGATGCAGACTTGTGTCTCTTTAACCGCAACTTATGTGTTTTAACACGTGAAAACATCATTTCCAGTGTTGATCAGTGGTTTGGAACTTCTGCAAGTACAACAAGTGCTGCGAGATATTCCGAGATTTGCAAGGAACGGAATTACAATCTCTCATTGCTGAAAACGCATACAGCGGTAGCTTTAACCAGATGGTAGTTGTTACCCATGGGTTTGAATGGAAAGAACTGTAACATTGACGACGGCAAGTTTGGGTTTATATCCATTTATATTCCTCACTTCATAAGCCTTTATTATCTCACTTTCATAAAAACACAAGGGAATTTATGCTTTATTTCTCTGAATTGATCAGGCGTTTACTTATTTTCTAATCTACTTTGTCATTTACATATTCGACATCTCTATTTGTCTCCTAAAACTAAAGAATTAAAATTATTATTTCCATTGCATTATATTTGGATGGTGCAAAAAGCCCACTTTGCAGCCTTAATCCACATCAGAAAGGGTCTTTTTTATTGTAAAATTAACCAACTGTAAAAAAACCCTCGTGTGATTTGCCTTTTGACACTAAAGAAAATCATACTTGCACTCAAAGACTCTCTACGCTTTCTGTCAGTTCGATGGACTAAAATTTTAATTTGAATTGACAACCTACGTTTGTTCTCGAATGGTATATTATTACACAACAGATGGAATTTTCCTAAAGTGCACGATGTATAACTCAAAGCTCATTTGTTTTCTTTCCTTAGCTTGCTGGAATCTTGTTACCGGATAGTTCATAAAACTATGAATAAGGAAAAGTGATAAAGTGCCATTCTTTTTAACTCAAAATGCATCATCGGTTTGTTTTTGCTATTTGTTAACCCAATGTGAAAGTGATATACTGGTATTATGCATACATACGTCACCAAGGAACTGTGTTAAGACATGTTCCATGGACATGCGTATTCAAGGATATTCTGTCATACATTGTACCCGGACCTTAGCCAGTGACACTGGTATATTCCTGCCGGACATCAGTTATTTTTACACCGGCATTAATCGGTGTATATCCCGTATGTTTAAACTCTTTTTGATGGTTTTTTTTTTGTACGCGATAGCATTCAGCAGATTGTTTTTAAATATGAATATCTCCGGTAGCCTCGAACTGAGACACCTAAGAGGCACGCGATGGAATGATTGTCAATGAAAGTCATTTAAAATATATGTGTACATTTTGTAACGTTTGCACCTGCTGATCCAGGTGAAATCCACTGATAATATAATTGGTTTAATGGTGGATCCAGGTGAAATCCACTGATAATATAATTGGTTTAATGGTGGATTCAGGTGAAATCCACTGATAATATAATTGGTTTAATGGTGGATCCAGGTGAAATCCACTGATAATATAATTGGTTTAATGGTGGATTCAGGTGAAATCCACTGATAATATAATTGGTTTAATAGTGGATGAAAGTAAATCAGTGCCATAGAAATTATAAAAATGTAACTTGTAAAATGCGGGCAATCAATTGAATGCGACTTAGGTTCGTCATGTTGGATGCAGCAGTCTTTTTTTCTTTACTATTTTCGAACAAACACACACTCTCACACACACACACTCACACACACACACACACAAACACACACTCACACACACACACACACACACACAGTTAATGGTTTTTCAGTGCAGGATACAAATACAAGTTTGAGCAGTATGCATTCCGCTGTTTGGCTTCCCGGCGCAGGTCTTAGCTAAAATTTCCATTCTGTGTGTGACGCTATATGTTCTTAGTCGTCTACATGTACCTTCGGATCCTGACTAAGCAACTGTAAATAATTGGGCTGTGTTAGTATATGTGGATGCCCTTCGCCTTTTCTCGTTTGCGTCCATTCTCGGGAATATTTTACTTGGTTTGTCTTTGTCCCTAGGCACTAAAACAACGAATATGATAAAACAGCTAAGAACCAAACGAACGATACTACAGCCAGCAAACTATATGTCTGGTGTTCTTACATAGACCTATGCAACCACGCACAACACGCACTAATACAAATACATATACACACCCACACATTATACATAAAACTTGAAACCAATTATGGATTCGACAAAAGAGCACTTAAATGAGACTGATATAGTATTCTTCTAGCGGCACCATAGCAAAATAAGCAGTAAGAAACAATGGAATAGCTCATGTTTTCAACCGAAAGCCACATTACTTACCCAATCTTCCACAGAATTATCCTGAGTAAATGCTAACTATCTTTAATCTAATTTATAATCAATAAGGAGAGTTAAAATTGATTGGCTTTGTATAATACATGTAATTCCGAAAGTTACAGTGTTTCTATGACATATATATGTATGAAGTGCATTCAACGCTGATCGCATTGCACAGCTGCATTTTAGACAGCTTGTTTCTAAGAGTGCTCTTTAAACCCATATATACTGCCTTGCCTCAGCGAGTGGATTTTATATACCGGTGATAAGGTATGAGAATCAATTATTATTATTATTATTATTAATATTGGGAATGTGTGCTTAATGGATTTTATTTTGATACCAAAATCCTCTTCCTTGTCTATTAAAATATTCAACTCTGTGAACAGCTGCAAGCTTTCGTGTTTAAGGCCTTGCCTTGCCTTGCGCCATTTAATGGACCGAAACCAAACATCTCGACCTGTTTTATTTAACAAGGTGACATTTAAAATATGTATTTAAGTCACATTTTCCCAAGCCTTTTCACTTAACAGACTCGGTCGAATCTCGAGTTTGCTTTGGTAAAAGAAGTGACCAACGGTTCTCGATTTGTGAAGGTAGTTAAACTCTGTACAGTCGACAATCGTTAAACGACCAATTTAGGGGAAGAACCACAATTATGAAATTTTTGCTTTTTGCCTGGTCGCTTTTTATGCTTCTCGCGTTAGAGCAGGTGTATGCCAGTGAGAGTGAGGAGACGCCACCCGGACTGAGGTTAAAGAAGGAAAAAATTCCCCAGAACGGAAGACTAAAGAACATGAAAAGGGAAAACCCCGCAGAAATGAAAAAGATGATGAAGGCAAAAGGCCTGATAGACATCTCTGAGGAGGAAGGTTTAGGTACGTAGCGGGCTTATAGTCCCTGTTACGTTTCTTAATACTTGTTTCTTAAACCACTCAAATAGTGTCCATTTGGCAAATCGATGATATTTGATAGCAATGTTTATCAAAGTTGTTGTTATCACTTTGCAGTTCTATTTTCAGTGCCTCTGATCACCCCCACGGATGGTACGGCTGTTCCCAATGAATACATTGCCCGCCTTCTGCCTGGTGGCAAGTACGGAAGAAGTAGGTGCACCGCTTTAAATTGTTGCAAAATTCTATTCCGTACAATTTAGTTTCATTTCCGCACTTATGCTTAGTAGTAAACAACTATCTTTAAGGAGCAGAACGCCCCACATACATCTACCTTGCATGTACCTCAATGAGCGTATTCAGAACCAGTTGATCCCAGGACCAACTAGTCCGTGGATCGAATATTACGCGCTCTTCACAATGGATACCCGCTTCCCCCTCGCGCTGTCCAGGCAGTGGCAGACCAATTAAATCTCGACACGCTTTCAAGTGGTTCGCGTCATATTTGATTCTCTCACATGTAGGTCCGCGGATCATCTGGTTTATAACGCGCCCCACGAGCAAAGACAAAACCTTGGCAATTGACATGCACCCGAAGACTGGCAGCGTAATGTGCTAAAATATTCAGAAATCCAAGAATTCTAAAATTTGAGTAAAGATGATAAGCGACAGGAAAGAACCTTCCTTTAGTCCGGTTGCAGATACATTATTCCTATACAAACCTGTAATATATGGTATTTGATGGCGTTTTGTGTTTATCTGTCAGAATACATGTAGCACAAAAGAGAAATTTACAATTTGGTGCCAAAACTAGTTACATAGTCTTTACTAAAAGGCATACCTGTTTTACTCGCGATTTATAGGGTACATAAGATTTTTTAAACCAAAAAGAAAATGAATTACTTAATAGATTACTTTCAAAACGATATAAGAACAGATTACAAGATAGTATAAAATCAATTATAATCTGTATGCAGATGTGTCTGCTATAAGATGCAGTTAACCGTACTCTTAAGTCTTTTGTCGTTTTAAATATCGAGATTAGGTTATAAAATATCTTATTTCATAATCAATATATTCTACCTGCCCGTTTTACACTTACAATGTACAGTTTTAAATCATATTCCCCTTACAGTTCGTCGCATCCTGAAAGGAAAAGGTTCCAAAGAAAGAGTGAAGTTCAACAGAAAAAGCAGCTACGTCATTCTTAGGGATATAAATGCTAGGTATGATTTTCGTCAACTCTCTCCTTTTCCATGGAGAACACTGGTTCAGACTTACGTGACCATTTGATTTGGTATAATATTCGTTATTTGATTATTTTCTTATTTTTCTTACAATATTAATGATATTTTCTTCATCTTTTTATGATATTTCAGATATCACAGTTCAACTTTATTTGATGCTAATATTTTGGGAAGAAATCCCAAACAAATTTATTTGAAATATGCACATTTTGTCCTGATATCTGAAATTTAATTATCATTATTACTGAAGTACATCATTTTTGTTTCTAGTGACCTTCAACTGCTTCGCCAACTTACTGGCGATATTGAAGAAATCGAACAAGCTAAGGAAATGTCGGTAGATCTAAGTCATTGTGAAGGGTATTTCCCGGCTGATGAAACATGGGTAAATATCATCACATGTGTATGTGTATGTTTTGAGTTTCTTTGTGTGTGTTTGTGTGTTTTAGGACACTATATACTGCATACGGCATACAGTCTCTCTTTTGAGTACAACTGATTTTACCCTGTTATTATATAAGAAACAACATCACTGATATCCACCAAGAAAAGAAAGATGTATTTTGATATGAATTCCGTACTTTTTTATGCAGAATTTAGACAGAATTGACCACTATGAGGATGATGACCGTTTTGCCACCTGGGCTCTCAGCTCTGATATAGACGCCTACGTCGTTGACACGGGAATTAACCCTGGTCACAGTGACTTCGGAGGAAGAGTTCTGCCAGGTAAGTTGAATTTAACTTAAATAACAGAAGAGAGAGATAGAGAGGTAGAGGGGGATGCTTGTGTGTGTGTGTGTGTGTGTGTGTGTGTGTGTGTGTGTGTGTAGAGAGAGAGAGAGAGAGAGAGAGAGAGAGACGGGGTGTGTGTATATTTGTGTGTGTGTGAGAGAGAGAGAGAGAGAGAAAGAGAGACAGAGAGAGTGAGAGAGAGAGAGAGACGGTAGGTGTGTGTGTGTGTGTGTGTGTGTGAGTGCGCGCGAGCGCGCGAGTGTGTCGGAGAGAGAGAGAGAGAGATTGTTTATAGTTATGAACTTCTGATGAAGTTGAGCTGTAAAACCTGTAAGATGTTTACACTTGCCTCTTTTACATACCGAAATCATTTATCATTTCAAAGCGATCAAGCTAGCCCTGATTTGGAAATAGCTAATTGAAAAGTCCAACATGACCGTCTTGAGACACAATAAATTGATAACTAAGTTTAAAAATAAATAAATAAATAAATAAGTGGATTAATTAATAAATGAGATGAAAATACTGNAGAGAGAGAGAGAGAGAGAGAGAGAGAGAGAGAGAGAGACGGGGTGTGTGTATATGTGTGTGTGTGTGTGAGAGAGAGAGAGAGAGAGAGAGAGAAGAGAGAGAGAGAGAGAGAGAGGGGGGGGGGGGGTAAGTAAGCACAAGACAAAAATCAGGAGGCCAATGCTAATCAAAGATCTGGCTGTGTGTTCTTATTCCAGGTTGGCACGCGAGTCGTTTTTCTAACAGCAGAGACTCCCAAGGTCATGGTACCCACGTGGCAAGTACCTTAGGAGGCGCCACCTATGGAGCAGCCAAGGAGGTCACCCTTATCCCCGTCAAGGTATGCGGCACGACGGGGATGTTCAACTTCGGACATCCTGGCAGGACTGAACTGGATAAAGTCACGGGTTCAACAGAACAAGCGTCTCTCAGTCATTAACATGTCACTGGGTGGTCCGTACTCTTCTTCTTTTAATGACGCCGTGTACGCTGTATTAGATGCAGGTATTCCAGTGGTAGTCAGCGCTGGAAATGACGGCCAGGCTGATGCGTGTGATAAATCCCCTGCAAGCGTAAGCGGAGCCCTCACAGTTGGCGCCACCCAGATAGATGATTACGTGGCTTCGTTCAGTAACATCGGATCATGCGTCGATATTTACGCTCCTGGGAGGAAAATAAGAGCCGCCAACTACGCAAACAGCAACGGTTGGACCGAGAAAAGTGGGACGTCAATGGCGTCCCCTCTCGTCGCCGGTGCAGCCGCGGGCTTGTTGCAGGTTTTACGCGACGCTGGGTTTCATAGCGTCCCGTCGACAAGCCTTGTTGACGACATCAACTATTACATCGTCCAGTTTGCAGAGAAGGACACAGTGAAGGGACTCCCGTCTACGGACAACAACAATGTTATGCTTCACACTACCTGTCTTACTACCTAAACTTAAAATCTCCATGAAATGAACTTTTCAAATTGTTAACATACCAGTAACTACAACAGCCTATCCAAACTCTTTAAATAACTTTTGGGAAATTTATCTATATATTTCTTTTGTTTTCTTTATAAGGTCTTCCTGAAAAGATGCTTTGCTTTGAATATATGTTAAGTTAATTAGTTAATTTAGAGGTTATTTTAGAGCAGCTTTCAATGAAACCTTGTTAGTGGCATTATGGGTTAAAAACATTTTTCACGGCGCTGGCAATTCAGAATCAAGCAAATGAATTTCGGCCTGCTCAGAATAAAGACAAATTTAAGAACAAGAAAACAAAGATACGTTTGGACTTAAAAATATTTAAGTGGACTATCATCTAAGGCATGAAAACTTGCAGCTAATTTGTGACATCCTGCAATCTTTAAAATCCAGGTTTGATAACATTTTGACATCAAATATTTAATATAGGCGTGGAGGCATAAATATTGTCAAAGCTTTTGCATGTCATCTAATAGGCCTATACTCTAAAAACAAAAAACTTAAAACCACAGCAGCTTATTTGCATCAACGTACTTTACAAGGGCAACTCTGGCGTAAAAGTGCTACACAAAGGCTATAGTAAATGTAAGCTTTATATTGCACGCGGGATGCCATCTTATTTCTGTATTGTAATTAAACTGCTAATAAATTCAATCAAGCACGCAAATATTCAGATGTTAAGATTCTCTTATGTCAACAATGGATCTGTCACAGGTAAACTGTTGCATTTAAATCAAAATATGCTTTTTTAAACACGTTTCATCTCATAAAGCGTTGCAAACATCGTTCTTCGTGATTATACAAATTAAAATTCAGTGAACTGACAGAGATGACTTTTGACCACACAGCCATAAGAGACCCCATTTATATCGGCAAAACGCGGCACTGGTTAGGTTTCGTTTGGGTTTATTTCATCTATCTGACCTTGATTTCCTCTATCTGACCTTGATTTCCTCTATCTGACCGGTGACGAATTCAGTGGAGTCCTAACCGAAAACGTAAAAATAAAGTGCCAACCCAAGAATTTTCGTGGAAGTCGGCAACCATATGTAATATGAGAATTCAGTTTGCACGGCTACAAAGTATGGTGGGTGTCTACAGTTCACAGACTCAGTTCCAATACGTACGTATTGTTATAGCGGCAAATAACGACGGTCTGGAGCTTTCGAACGTTTATTCACCGACTTTCTTTTTCATACAAATTCACAAGTATTTATGCGGAATTTCACAGTTCGGATCATGCATTTACTTTTCTTTCCATTGTCTTTGCGTGATTATACAAGGAATTTTCCACTCTCGTGTTGCAAACCACCATTCAACATTTCCTTTTTTTTGGTAATTTCTAAGACACTTGTTTGCAGTTTATAATATTTAAAATATCATATGAATTGCTTATGCTTGGACCATATCCATCCTTAGTTTGCATGTGTTTTACACGTGTCCGAAATTTGCAAATATATTGAATTAACCTGTCAAATCGAAGTATATGTGACTTAAAAATGTTCCTTTTTTCCTACCACGAAAAAAAAGTACACTTGTTGACTCTTAGAGAAATTAAACTTACACTCAATAACTCCTTAACCTTCCACTCGTTTGAATCGTCTTTAATTATTACTTGCAATTAGTGAAAGTGTAAGTCATTTACCTTACAACGTTACAGTATTATACGTATCATACCCCGTTTTTGCTCAGTTCGGTATTATACGTATCATACCCCGTTTTTGCTCAGTTCGGTATTATACGTATCATACCCCGTTTTCGCTCAGTTCGGTTTTATACGTATCATACCCCGTTTTTGCTCAGTTCGGTATTCGGTGGGTTTCTACCCTGTATTTTACTCACATGACGGTAAAGCTTAAAGACAAGAACACAACCTGGGGGTAAAGTGTGATATAAATGTGGAGAGCCGGAGACACAGAAGAGGACGCGGTCTTGGTGGGTGTGGCGCCGTCTAGGACTTCAGTGGACCGCGTCTTATTGCCGCCATTGCCACACATGTCGGCAGCACGTGGTCTTGCGACCAGCCGCAGATCTCCCTCAGCCAGCTTGATGGCACGCTTCTCCAGAAACCTATCTATGGATGGCAGCAGACATACTACTGTTTCCAACCCTCGATGTAGGAGACGCTGGGGGAATTCTTGGAAATCCTTGCCACATACACGATACTGAGAGCCGATCCTTCTTCTGCCATCTGTACTCTGCAGTCGTGATGACCCATCAGAGAAACCTTCGAAGCTAAAGGTATGTGCCTTATACTGATATCAATATTGTCACAAATGTAATAGACTAGGCGTTCAGTAAGGTTCCAACCATCAGGTGCGAAGATAAACTCCACTTGATAGGACACGTGCTCGAAAGCGTGTAAGATAGGACTGCACACTTCACCAATTGACATGTAGCCTACTGGGCAGGGCTGGCTCGCCTAAAACCCGAGAAAAGTACGTTTTCATCAAATCATATTTGTTAATAAATATATGTTATATGTAAGTGTCCTTGAATTCTAATTCTTGGCGCATTAACGGGTCAGACAGCGAACGCAAGAAATTTCACTTTTACAGTGGCGTCACGTAGGCTAGCATACACCAGACGGCTTGGCGACGTTCACGCATGCGCTGTGCCTATACTCACCTTGCCCAAGCTTGCCTCATCGCTGTCGTCCCTGGTCCTCAGTAAAGAACTAAAACTTGGAGGTGTGTACTTCTTGATAAGTGACGAGTATGATCCTGAAATAAAGTTGTGATCCTTAGTAAAGAACTAAAACTTGGGGGTGTGTACTTCTTGATAAGTGACGGGTATGATCCTGAAATAAAGTTGTGATCCTTAGTAAAGAACTAAAACTTGGGGGTGTGTACTTCTTGATAAGTGACGGGTATGATCCTGAAATAAAGTTGTGATCCT